AAAATACAAAAAAGAAGTTGAATAGCTGATTTAAAAAGATCAAATAAATTATTAGTTTCCAATGAGAAATAAATACAAAAAAGTAGATTTCAACGATCTACAGACATCTTCTTAAAAATATCCTTAAATTTATTACCAGCCAATTTAATGATCTAAGAAAAAAAAAGAAATATATTATTTTACTGTCCAAAAATTGACAGGAAATTTTTTACCTCATGACTGAGGACATCTTTAATGTCTACAAATTTAGAAACCTGAAGGAAAAATATTGATCAATAAAGGTTATTTAGCGCTGTGTACTTTTGGCAAGGTGCCTTCAATTTGACGCTTATTTTATAAGATCTGCTGTCACACAGAGTCATCACTCAAGTACCTGAAGTCATGTTAGATCTTGAGAATAAGTTGACCGCAAAACTTATTTTTTTTGTCAATAAATATAGTTTAGAGTTTCATACCGGGCAAACATTTCAATGGTGAGAACAACTTTTTAAGTGAGAGAGTTTCTGAATAGTTGTTAAATGGCAGCAACTCAGGGAACAACGCCTGAAGTCTATGCGGGTGATGAAGCGTGCGAGGAACATAGGGACGTCCGTAAGGTTCCTTTGAAGTAAAGAAGCAGTTGTACTTACGGCTTTTGTATACTTGCAGTCGACGAGAAACACTTCACTGTATTATCATCAAAAGAAGTGAATGCGACCGCTTCAGGCGATACAGTGAATCGCAATAAGAAAACAAACACTAATATCCCAATACAAAACCTATTGGTTTTGTTTCAATTTGAGTTGTTAAAGAATAATAAAGACATCTATTTTTGAAAAGATTTTTGTAAAATAACTGACCTTGTTAGTATTAAAGAGATCTTAAAAATTGTCAATGTCTATATCTTCAAACTAGACTTATCCAACAACAATTTTTTTTTAATGAGAAAATTGATTATAATTATAATGTTACAGTATATGATAATTGGTTAAGTAAAGTGTATTGTAGAAAGCCATACAACCACAATACCAATGTTCAAGCCCTGAAACCTTGACTGAGAAATATCAGTATGGTGTTTACCTGAGGATAGTTTACTACCTGATATTGTTATATAGTTATTTCTGTCTATTTATTTACCGTATTAGCAGACCCTTGCAATTGTATTTCAATGTAAAATATGTAAAAAAATAAATATATAAATTATAATAAACTGAAGAAAATTATATTATATTATCAAGCCAGAAATTTACACATAAGAGACAAATTGTTGTTGTTGTTATCTGACTGTCACTGGAATGACTATAGATCTTATTATCTTGGGATTTTTTTTCAGGACCATGTCTGCGTGTTTTGTGTGGGTTCGGCGCAATTTGTCACTTGAATATAAAGAAAGAAGCAATTTGTGTTTGTCCTGATTCGTGTCCTCCTATATTTTCACCGGTTTGTGGAAGTGATGGTATCTCATATTACAGCGAGTGCATGTTAAAAAGGACCGCTTGTGTGGAACGCAAGATCATCACAAAAGTTTCTGAAGGGGCATGTCAGGAAGGTAGGTTAAAACTATATAAGGCTGTGTTCAGACACAAGTAACGCTAGCATAAAATGGTAAAGTGGTGTGAACTTGTGCATTGCGTAATTAATACCAGTATTTATCATACAGATGGCATATATAGTAATAATAATATGTCGGTCTTATATAGCACTTCATGCATAAAGCCTCTAAGCGCTTCACATTACTACCCCGGTCATTGGATCAAACACGTATGGAACACATACTCAGCTCCCTGGGGAGAATTCCATAATATTGCAGCTAGTAATCAGCGCAGTTGTGTTTGAACCTACCAGTTACCCACTTGTAGGTTCCGTGGTAGATAAAGTTCCTTGCCCAAGGGCACAAGCGATTTGCACAACGAGAGTTTTGAACCCCCGACCTCAAGTTTGGGATTCCAAGCCACAATCAATGTGCCAACCGCTTCTATATTATAATCTTTATAGTGTTTAGGAAGACATAATCTTGAGCTTGTCACACTAATGCTTTGGAATATGCTGCCCCTAAACTATATAATGCTCACCAATGGAAATCAGGAAAGCAAGAAGTGTTGATGTTTTTAAAAATCTTTTAAAAACTCTTCTTTTAATAATTTGTTTTTAATTCGTATACTTTAAATATCTTCTTGTAGATTTGATTAAAGTGAATTTTAACTTGCACATTATGTTTCTAGCCAATTTGAATTTTTATTGTGATGCAATTTGATTGACTTTTAATATGCTGTTGAATTTTAGCTTCCCAGAATTTTAACTTTCTCTTTTTTATATTGTTAACTTGTTTTATTGTAATGCACATTTGAACATATTTAAATGGGATTTGCGCAATATAAATGAATAAATTATTGTTCAGATGACAAATTTTCGTTTGTCAACTGAATTGATTGAAATGTTTTACTTACGCAGAACGTTTCGATCCGTATCAGGGATCTTTATCAACTGACAGCTAGGTGTGCTATACGTTGGTCATGACGTCATCTGTTGACGATGTTGCACGCATTATTGTTATTATTCATACGATAATCCATTGTAAGTTCCCTATCCAACACCGTTTTGGCTTGTTGTGTCTACTGCCTGCTTTCAGGCAAGTAGACACTTTGCTATCATCTCTCCTGTAATTTGTAAGAGTAAATCCGTTTGGAGGAATGATGGGAAACATCATAAGCTAAAGATAAAAATAAGCCTACGAAATATGATGCCATGCCAGACCTGTCCCAGATAGAACTAAAAAGTCAATAATCTGTTATTTGTACAGTTATTTTTGTGAATTGCCAACACAGAGTGGATGATGGGTTGCGAGTTAAAAGTAGCCAAAAAACTGTCGAGCAGTATACACACGCTCTCACTTGGAGCCTATTTTTCTAATTAGTCTAAATGGAAAAGGAAAGAACTACATGATTCATCACCACTGTCATGTCTGATTTTAATTGATATTTTGTACTAGGCATTCAGTATACATAGTAACCCAGGTTTATATATTTTATTTGCTCAAAATACTAGATGTACTCTGTATAATATTTATCTGAGAACTGCAGTCTCTTCAACTTTAAGCAAATTACTGATGGATGGATTTATTCAGTGTACAACTAGGTTAACCCAAGAAAGTCTGAGGAAGATTTATTTCCTTCTTGAGGTGATTGGACACCGGGAGACAATCTCATAATTTTTTTCAAATAGTGTACTGTGTCCTTTAACGTGCACACAGGCATTGCATACATGACCAACGGCCTAAATGCTCATCCGAACGATGGTGCGCTATACGTACATACGACATACGTGCATTTCATCCCTCCATCTGAAACACACTAAGGAGAGTGGGGATGGGAATAGCACTGGGGGACCTAGAGATCTTCACGGTACAGTGCACACACATTGGCTACCACCAATTTGACCAACTGAGCTAAACTGCTCTATATATTGGCATCTAATCACATTATAATTGTTCTGAGACTTCAATACAAAACAAACTTCACTAGAGTGTGAAGAAAGCAGATCAGCTTTCTTCTAGCTATATTACATGTTATTAGATACTCTGTCTAATTAATTTATTAATTAGTTAACCTTTAGTCAGATGCACTCAATAAGTATGTTATTTTTGGCATGTATTGTGTTCCATGTTGACTGGGCTCAGGTAGACACTCGCCGAGTTTAAATAATCACTACACTAAGGCTTAAATATTTTGTATAGTTAATGTTTGAATTAATCTGTCAGTATTGAACTTATTTAAATTGATATTCTTCTCTAATATATCATGGAATATAGTGAGGTAGCCGTGTAAGTTTGAACTACATGAACATTATAAGCAAATATTTTATCTGGTTCTAGCTGCGAAGTATGAATATGGAAAACAAGAATTTGTCCATGTTCATACATAAACAGTAAGAGACAGGCAGCACTTTTAATTTTTAAGATTAAAGCCGGGCAATCACTGCATCCATCGTACGAAGGCCGTACAACCATCGGCTGGTGAATCCATCTTCGTTCCCAGTAAGTACTACTGATTTTTGGAGGCAGTCTGAGCTGATCCTTATTGAAAACGATCCGTTGCAGGGGCATTCCACAGTATTTGGTCCGTGAGGGTTCAATTTTCATTTTTAATTATTAATATAAATTTTAGCTAATTAGCTAAAGAAGATATATCAAAGTTAGATAAAAAAACTTTTTTCATTTTTTTGATGGATATTGTTTGAGTTATTTGATATTAAATATTAAAAATGTATATTTTGCATCACAGATGGGACATTAAAAAATGCTAAATATTTCTTAAACAGTAAATCTGATAACAAAATTTTGGTGCAGACACAGTTACCTTGTATTTCTTCTATTACAAAATCATGTGTTTGGTTGAAATTTGATATTATTAATTTCATACTTACACATCAAAATTCATAATTGTCCTGTCCGTGAAATTTGAGGAGATTTTTTTTACATTCATTAGGAAACTAATGCTATGAAAAATTTAATATTCAATTTTCTCCTACTAGAGACTATAACTTAATATTTTATCCTCGTGGCAATAGTAACCATCATGCACCTTCACCTAATTTACTCGCTCTGACAGTGTTAACTGCCAGACGATGATAGTGTCTATGCCCCAAGGGGGTAATAGACACAAAAATCCATGACAATTTTAACTAGATATTTTCTGGAGAGAAATTTGTTAAAAAAACTATGCATGGTCAACTGAAATGTAGTTCATTGACCATCTCTAGTAAATCTCAAGTTAGATTTATATAATTTCGTTTTTTTTTTTCCTTTTAACCTACAGTTTTTCAATTTATAGGCACCAGTTTTATGTATTGTAATTAGTAATTTTGAAGTCCTCGTTTATTTGTGCTATATAAATCCATCTATTATTATTATTATTATTACTATTATTATAAATTTACATGTTAATTAGGATATATCCCCTGAAAGTGATTCAGTTTGCTATTGTCTCCAGGCCAGTATGTAATTTACCAAAATAATGTTGCTTATCATTTACGGTCATGTCGTATTATTGGAATATTATTTAAAGAAATTTAATGCTGGTATAACCTAGCTACACTAAATAAATAAAATAGTACCAGCTAATATCTGTTGTTGGGCTGTTGCCACCATATATGTATACTGTATATTTCACAACAAAATGGAAGTTTAAACTCTGATGAAATATTAATCAATGTTAAACATTGTAATATTTAATTTGATAGCATAAATTAATTAAAATGTATCACTTCATGAATATACAGTACATATGAAAAAAAATCATAGGCCTATTTGCAGTGGCGTAGAAAAATATTTTTCATTGGGGGGGGATGATTGGCGTGTTAGCCAGTGTCGTAACAGGCGCAGGGGGTGGGGGCAGGGGGAAAACTGCCCCTCCGGTTTTTACTGGGCTGACCAAGCCGTCGTACCGGGCTGGGTAATAAGAGAAAAGAAAGAGGGGAGAGGGAGGGAAAGAGAAAGAAGAGGAAAAGAAAAGGAAAGAAAAAGAGAAGAGAAAAATAAAGACAAGAATAAAAAGGAAGATATCATAATGACCAGACACACAACACCTTGCAACCTCTTCTCCACTTCAAAAACTGTCATAACTCCTTTGATCTATGCTGCCCAATGGCGTAACCACTGGAAGACAAGGGGAAAATATCTATCTTTGAAAAATCTTCCCCACCCCTTTATAAATGCCCTTTATCCCCTGAAAGTGCCTAAAAACCTCAAATTTTGCGCGCATTTCTTGTTAACATGGCCCAATTTCCTCTAAAAATTTTAGGGAGTTTTGATCAATTCCAACGAAATTAGAATTAAAAACACAGGGGGACAAGGGGAATTTCCTCTATAAATTGCACATTTTAGGGAGTTTTCATCAATTCCGACGAAATTAGAATTAAAAACACAAAAAT